ACTTAATATCTGGGAATAGGACTGCATTCCAGTGGACCCTTGAAATGCAAATCCCTTCTTATGAAATGCAAAACAGTGTCTATCTATCTAATATCACTACATTAACTATTTCATAAAAGACAAACACTTGATGCAACTGGAGCCACTTCCAAGAAAACCACAGGATCAGTAAAAGCAATGTGGTGTTTTAAAAGGGAGTCACTAAGTCTATTTAAAGTAAGAGATTCAACTCCTGGATTCCTTTAAAACTTCAGAAAATTTGTGTCACTGGTATGGACTTTTAACCCTTTCTGCACATTAATATTTTTGCCATGAGGATCTTTTTTTGCAAAACTTTGAGGAATATCTACACCTGGACTTAGATTCTCATCCTACAAAAAGTTCTGCAATCTGCAGAAACCCCCTGAAACTCAAAGGCTCTGCCTACTCAAAGAACATGGCAGAGCTCTTCGCTCAGGTGAGATGTGAAACAGTCTGCTGTGTCTTCTATGGTACTCAGAAAAGTTAAATTAATTTTGTCAGTGTCCAAGGAAAGTAATGATAAAATAGAATCCTTTACGACTTGGAATTTTCTTCTGGCCACTGTTACAGGTGGAGGAAGCTGTTTGTGGAATTACCTGGCTGCTGGAGGAACATGAGCATGTGGTCCTCTGTTTGCACCAAGGCTCGATAGCCCACAGAGTCATCCTTCTTCAGGAAAACTTGGATGTATAGCTGGGAAAAGAATAACAAGGAAAACAGGTTTATGATCACATCACCTAAGAGAAAAGAGAACTCGGGTGAAGCAACAGCGGGATGGTGTAATCCTCAAAATGCTCCTTCCCCATTGCCTGAAGGGTTCTCCCCATCCTGCCAAATCAGGGAAGGGAGGGCACTGCAGGTCTGAGCAACCACAGGACTGAAATAACCCCTCCCTGCTCACCTGCTGTGGTTTGGCACCTCCTTGCTCCAGGCTAAAGGTAATCGTGGTATCCAACAGCCTTTGTCCAGTTTCAACCAGGTAGAGATTTATATTGTAGGTTTGGTTGGAGCACGTTAAGGAATCCTGGAACAGCAGGCAGAAATCAGCAGCTGCACACATACACACCAAAATCTGCACCACGATTCCACAGCCAGCAACAACTGCGACCTCAAAAGATTTTTAGGTTCTACACAGGAACTGCTACAAAACAGCAGCTTCCAAAAAGCTGGTGTAACACCTTTGCCATCTGCTCCTGAACACAAAGGACAAAAAAGGACTGGCAAGAACTCCCACTGCTCCTGGGAACAAGAGCACCTCATACCTGCCTCCGGGCTTCCTCCAGAGTGCTTCCAGCATGAAGGCCATCAACACTTCCAGGTTTCTGAAACGAGGATGAGAAGAGATGTAACATGGCTGCAGACACCAGTAACACAATAAAAAAAAAGGGTTTTGAGTGCCTGACAAGTCCCAGCTTGACTGTGAGAACAGCCAGGGAACAGTTCTACTCTATTATATGCTATCTTTTATTAAAATAAAACCTTCCCTAGGTTTGGTATCCCCAAAAACTGAAATCCTCTATGGATCAGTAAATCCAATTCCAAGGTCACATGCCCCCCTTACATAATTCTGAAGCAGGACCCCACATTCCACTGAGCCAGACCCAGCCTGAGCTGGACATGATCAAGCCTTAACTGCATTACCACTGGAGCTCATCAAACCCTCCTCTTCTGCAAGGCACCCCCCATCCCTGAGCCTGTGAAACACTCATGGAACCCACCCCCAGAGCACACCCCTAGAGCTGTGCTGGTTCCAGAGAACAGGAGTTGTGTTTACCAGCTCACTCCTGCATGTCAGGACAGCAGCCACCGTCTTCTCCCCAGTCGTTGCAAAACTCACCAGAGCTGCCTGGCAAGAAAAAAATAGCAGAAAATCACTAAAAACAAAACCCCAAGAAAATCCCAAAGCCCATCAAAAACTGCTTGTGAAGTAAATAAAGCCACAGTGGAATTAACACCAAATAATCTTTCACAGCCAAATTTTGAATTTTATATTCTTTTCCCCAATTTAGAAAAAAATCGTAAGACTGAAAATATTTCTCATGACGATGGGAACAGTTGATCTGCCACAGGTTTTCGAAACATTATGACCAGTTACTGAGATTTTCAAAACCTGCAAGCTAGCCCAAGAGTTCTGAAGAATTTCAAGCTGCAGTTGGCCCTCTGGCTGGGGACATTTGTGTGGGGTACCTGCTGGAAGTCCCGGAGGAGGCTGAGCAGCCCGTGGTTGTACTGCAGCAGGGAGAAGTGGCTGGGAGAGAGCTGCAGGAAGAACTGGGTCCGAGAAGCACTGATGACACTGGGCTGAGTGGCCAAGATCCTGGCCTGGAAGTCATCTGCAAACTCCAGCTCCAGGGACTGCAAGGGAGACAAGCACACGAGCTTGCTCTTTGCTGAACCAACACCTTCCTCCTCCCAGCAGCAGCGCAGCCCCATGGAGAGCTCATCACAGGCTGGCTGAGGCACCAAACCAGCTGGGCAACGACTTACATACAGTGCTCCTTCAGCAATTCTCACCTGCAGGGGAATCTGCTTCATCTCCTGCTCTGACCCCAGGGAGCAGACGTGGAGTGAGTGCGTGTCCGTGTCCACACACACCAGCACGGCCTCGCCCACCACTCCGCAGGCGCCCTCCAGGCTCTGCAGCCACGGGGCTGCCACTCTCACCTGCACAGCCACAGACACCCACATGTCAGCACAGCCAGATCTTCCAGGCACCAACACGGACACAGTCAAGAATTCAAGTCACAGTTATTTTTCCCCAGGACGGGAAGAAACTGTCAGCCTGAGGTTTATGAGACACCCTTGACTAACGGCTGTCACTCCAGTTCAGCTTGGCTTTCAGGGCATTTGGCCAAGAAATCCACCTTCTGGCCTGCAGGCAGTGCCTCAGTGGAAGGAAAGTTTCTCTGCACCACAAGCAATGATTCCTCTGCCCAGCCCATGGGTGGGAAGCACATTTGTTAACACAAACCCAGTATTTGGTTCCACCGTTGAGCACTACCTGTTTCGTGATTTCTCCATCCTCTGCACTGAATGTCAAGATGTTCAGGTGGCTCTGGGGAACAGTTCCAAGCACGTGGATCACTCCAGTCCCATGGGAATACAGCAGCTGGTACTGAGCACTCTCACTGTGACAGAGGCAGCAGCCATGAAGCATCACCTTCTCACAGGGCTGTTTGCAGAGCTTTTCAGAAGCATAAGGCAAGAGCAGCACCCTTCCCTCTGCCAGGAGCTCCTACCACTCCTTAAAACGTGTTCCCACCTTTCTGGCAAGTGTTCCACCCACTTCTGGTGCCCGTTGGACAGGTAGTGCAGAGACAGGGCCGCCTTCTTCAGCACTGCCACGTACTTCACCGTGTCCTGGAGCCCCACCAGAGCAGCTGCCTGGAAACTGAGCACAGCCCACCAACAGGAAATCAGGGAATTCCTATTTTACCCTGTAGGGGCGTCTGGAGCACAGAAATGGCTGAGGGAGCTGGGGGGGCTCAGCCTGGAGAAAAGGAGGCTCAGGGGGGACCTTCTGGCTCTGCAATCCCTGACAGGAGGGGGGAGCTGGGGGGGGTCGGGCTCTGCTCCCAGGGAACAGGGACAGGAGGAGAGGGAACGGCCTCAGCTGTGCCAGGGGAGGGGCAGGTGGGACATCAGCAGGAATTTCTCATGGAAAGGGTGGTCAGGCCTTGGCAGGGGCTGCCCAGGGAGGTTTGGAGTCCCCAGCCCTGGAGGTGTCCAAGGAAGGCCTGGCCGTGGCACTCAGTGCTCTGGGCTGGGGACAGGGTGGGGATGGGACACAGGGGGGATCCATGGGCTGGGAGGGATTTTCAAACCTCAGTGATCCTGTGCAAGGTCAGGCATTCATAAAGAATACACCCAAAACTTATTCTGGAAACTTTACCTCTAACTAATCTTCCTCTACAATGCAATCCAGAGAAGGCCCATGACCTCCTTCCTTCCTTCCAAGCCCAGCACTACAAGGAGGAGAAGCCAGTGCAGCCAGAAAATCCCACCTGCCAGTGTCCAGGGATGTCTCCCAGTTCAGCCCCCCGATGTTGGTCTCCCAGGAGCGCAGGATCCGCCCTCCGTTGGACACAGTGACGGCATCTGCACGGGGGAGGAACGCGGGGCTGTGTCCACACAGAGCAACAGAGCCCCGAGCTGAGCAGCTCCAGCCTGTGCTCCCGCAGCCCCGGTGCAATCCCAGGCCCGGCAGGGGCCCCTTACCCTGCCCATGGATCAGCATCGCATCGATCGTTCCTTCCGCCGTGCCCTTGTCCACGTGGCGCCACACTGGGGAGACAGAGCCCAGCCAGAACAAGATTTGCCCCCCAAAAACATCCCTTCCTATTATTTTTAAGCTCATACAGAGCACAGTCCACCTGCTCTAGGCCACAGCTCTGCCCCGCCGGCTGTCCCCTCGCAGCCTGACAAGGCACACGTTCACCCTTCAGAATAAAACCCGCACGGTTTGACCGGCCCGTCAGCCCCGAACCGGCCGCACTCACGGATTTCGCCGCTCCGGGAGTTCAGGGCGGCCACCACGTTCTCCTCGGTGGCCACGACGAGCTTCTTCGAGCCCTGCGAGGCCTCCAGGGAGGCGAACTTGAGCTTCCCCACGTACTGCTGCCTCCTGGGGAGGGGAGGGAGCGGCGCTGAGGCGGGACCCGCCACGGGAGGGCCGCGGGGCCTGCCCGCGGGAGGGGATACGCGGCGCGGCGGGACCGCCGGCGCTCACCAGTCGAACTTGCCCACTTGGTCCTCGTAGACGGCGGCGGCCAAGGGCAGGAGGAGCGGCAGGAGGAGCTGCCCCGGCAGGAGCTGCCCCGGCCCGGCCGCCATCGCAGCAGCCCCGGCGCCCGGGGGGCCTCGCAGCGCCCCGGGGCTGCCCGCGCGCTGCCTGCGCGCTCCCCACGGAGCCGCCCCCCTTTCTCTGCACAGGCAGCGCGCGGGGCAGCCCTGTCCGCTCCCGGCAGCTCGCGCGCCGCCCGGGGGCCTCGGAGCACGGCGGAGCCATGCCCAAGTCCCGGCGGGACCGAAAGGGTGAGAGCGGGGACGGGCCCTTCTCCCTGCCATTCCTCCTGCCCTGCCCTGCCCTGCCCGGCCCTCAGCGCTTCCCCCGGCCCTTCTCCCTGCCATTCCTCCTGCCCTGCCCGGCCCTCAGCGCTTCCCCCGGCCCTTCTCCCTGCCATTCCTCCTGCCCTGCCCGGCCCTCAGCGCTTCCCCGGCCCTTCTCCCTGCCATTCCTCCTGCCCTGCCCGGCCCTCAGCGCTTCCCCCGGCCCTTCTCCCTGCCATTCCTCCTGCCCTGCCCGGCCCTCAGCGCTTCCCCCGGCCCTTCTCCTGCCCTGCCCGGCCCTTCTCCTGCCCTGCCCGGCCCTTCTCCTGCCCTGCCCGGCCCTTCTCCCTGCCCTGCCCGGCCCTTCTCCCTGCCCTGCCCGGCCCTTCTCCCTGCCCTGCCCGGCCCTTCTCCCTGCCCTGCCCGGCCCTTCTCCCTGCCCTGCCCGGCCCTTCGCCCTGCCCTGCCCGGCCCTTCTCCTGCCCTGCCCGGCCCTTCTCCTGCCCTGCCCGGCCCTTCTCCCTGCCCTGCCCGACCCTTCTCCTGCCCTGCCCAGCCCTCAGCGCTTCCCCCGGCCCTTCTCCTTGCCATTCCTCCTGCCCTGCCCTGCCCTGCCCGGCCCTCAGCGCTTCCCCTTGCCCTGCCCTGCCCGGCCCTCAGCCCTTCCCCTTGCCCTGCCCTGCCCGGCCCTCAGCGCTTCCCCTGCCTGGTCCTCAGCCCTTCTCCCTTCCCTCATCCCCTTCCCGTGCTCGTGGCCCTGCCCATCCCACCCTAACGCATCCTCTGCTCTCCGCAGTCTCCCTGACCCGGACGCCCCGGAAGGGGCTGGAGGCCAAGCAGGCGCTGATCACCGAGGTGAGTGGGGCTCCGTCCCTGTCCCCATCCCCGTCCCCTCCTTCCCAGTCCCCGTCCCGGTAACGCCTCCCCCGCAGCTCCGCCGCTGTGTGGACACCTACAAGTACATCTTCGTGTTCTCCGTGGCCAACATGAGGAACAACAAGCTCAAGGATGTCCGGAACGCCTGGAAGCACAGCAGGTTGGGGGGGGTTGGAAAGGGGGAATTCCCAAGAGGGGTGAGCTCCGGGGCTGACATCCCCCTTCCTCCTGCTCCAGGATCTTCTTCGGCAAGAACAAGGTGATGATGGTGGCGCTGGGGCGGGGGCCAAGCAGCGAGTACAAGGAGAACCTGCACAAGGTGGGCACTGGGGTTTCCTGGGGATCCTGAAACATGCATCTGCCTTACCCCACGCCACGGAATAACATCCCAGGACACCAGAGCTCCTCGGGTCACCCTTCTGGGGGTGTTTTAATTGAATCCATCTGTGTCCTGACACAAAGGGTCTGTTACCAGAGCTTTCTGTACAGGACTGCGGGTGGGTCCCTGGTGCTGCCTGATCCCTATGGATGTTCCTTCTCTTACAGGTCAGCAAACACCTGAGAGGGGAGGTTGGGCTGCTCTTCACCAACCGCACCAGGGAGGAGGTGGATGAGTAAGTAGTGCCTGGCACAGCCTTGTTGTCGTGTGACCACTGTAACCACTGCCCTCCCTGATGCTCCCTCAAAGGGGTGGTCTCAGGGGTTTTCCACCCATTTTCTCAGCTATCCCTGTGACAGCAGGGAATCATGGAAAGGTTTGGGTTGGAAGGGACCTTAGATGTCATGCAGTCCCAACCCCATCCATGGGCAGGGACACTTTCCACTGTCCCAGGCTGCTCCGAGCCCTGCCCAACCTGGCCTTGGACTCTTCCAGGAAAGGGGCAGCCACAGCCTCCCTGGGCACCCCAGGGACCTGTGTTGGGCTGTAGGCAGAGCAGCTGCAGCTCTTGTCCCCTGCCCCAGGTGGTTCTCCAAGTTCCGAGAGCTGGACTTTGCCCGCGCTGGGAACAAGGCACCGTACGGGGTGAGCCTGGACACGGGGCCCCTGGAGCAGTTCCCACACTCCATGGAGCCACAGCTCCGGCAGCTGGGATTGCCCACGGCGCTGAAGAAAGGTACTGGGGCAGCTGGGGAGGGCAGCCCGTCTGTCTGAGCAGGGGAGACCTCAGGAGGAGAATGCTGAATAGGAGAATTTAGATCTGGAAAAATCCCATGGACATTCTCCTTGTTGGGATGAGGCTAGAACTCCTTATGTCCTTCTTGTGCTGTTCTTCCCAAACTCATGTCAAAGGATGAGTCAAACAACAGGGTTTTTCCAAAGCACTGTCCCTTTCCAGTGGGAACAGCTGGGACTGACCCGTTCAGAAACCAGATGTGGAGCTTACTGAACTGATCTCACCCAGCTCCTTGAGGTGCACTAACATTGCATGGAAAGCTCCAAAGGGGGGTGTGGGAGGGAGTCCTGGCTCTGCACCCCACGTTTCAGGGGGTCACCCAGTACCTGGGAGCCTGTTGAAGGGGTTTTGTTCCTGCAGGGGTGGTGACGCTGCTCTCGGATTACGATGTCTGCAAGGAGGGGGATGTTCTCACCCCGGAACAGGCCCGTGTCCTGGTGAGTAACACAACAGCCCTGCTTCCTGATACAAAACAATTAATTAATGCAACCCCTGAAACTCAGCAGCAATTATTTTGGCTCCTGCTCTGCAGCACTTCCCACCTGGAAGTGGTCTGGACTGTTTTGCTAAACTGGACAGAGACAGTAAAGCAGGAACACATTTGTGTCCTTTCCTAGAAACTCTTCGGTTATGAGATGGCAGAGTTTAAAGTCACCATCAAATTCGTGTGGAATTCTGAGACAGGAGACTTCCAGAAGCTTGTGGGAGACACAGCAGAGGAAGAGGAGGATAATGATGATGACAGCAGTGAGGACTAGCAGTGTGGACACGAGGCAATTTTACTCTATTTTAGAGACAAAAAGAGGAGGATGTTTCTCGGACCTGTTTGCAGCTGGACAAGGGTGATCAGCTCAAATGTGCTCTTTGTAAAAAATTATCTAACTGTGCTTTTTTTATATATATATAAATCTGTATACAAAACTTCAGACAGTTCTTGCTGGTGCCTGTTACTGCTTGTGTATCCCAGGATCTGAGGAAATTCCAATTCAAATGTGAAAATTGGGCAGAAGGGGTGTAAATTTAATGCAACTTCAATGTGGCAGAGTGGGAAAAATGCTGAGGGTTTGTTATTCTTACACAGAAGAAGATAATTTCCCTGATCCCTGGAATTTTGCCCTATCCCTGGAAGAGTACAGGACCAGGCTGGATGGAGCTCTGAGCAACCTGGGCTAGTGGGAGTTGTCCCTGCTCATGACAGGGTCTGTAATGAGATGAGCTTTAAGGTCCCTTCCAACCCAAACCAGTCTGGGATTCTGTGATTCCAAGTCCCCACGTGCTGCCAGCCAGGTTACAGGTACGGGTCAGAGATGGGAGCCGCGTTAGAAAGTTTTATTCTTGTACATAATTATTTAAGATTTCACATTAAAGCAGAATGGGGGCTTTCACCCCATTGCTTTGTTCACTTTCCTGATTAACTGCAGCTTTAATTATGGTGCTGTGGGGACCTGGAGGGCTGCGAGGGAAGAAGGACTAAGGCAAGGCCCAGCACAACAGCAGTTGTGGATCCTGCAAAGCTTCATTAATTCAGGAGAAATCTCAACCCATTGGCTTGTGGATCAAAGGCAGGGTGGGCAGTACCTTGCCAGTGCTTCCAGAGCCCTGTGCTGTTCTCTGCCCCCACGTGGCCAGCGTTCTGTCCCTGCTCCGACCCCTAACGGAAGTAGTTGGGGCAGTCGTGGGCACTCATGTTCCAGGCTGCATCAAAAGCCTCCACCACGGCGGGGAGCAGGGGACCCTCCTCACTGGAGTTGAGGTTCTGCTCTAGCTGGTCCATGTTGGACATCCCGATGATCACTGCATCTCCAAGAGAACCCTGGGAAGACATAAAAGGTGCTGCTGATCCCAAAAGAAACCTGGTTCACCTCTCAAGGATTTAGACAACTGACACCACCAAGTTCTGGTCAGAAGGCCAGGACATCTCCAAGTCATGCCAACTCCTCAAAAACTGCCAAGTCCTACTTAATGATGGGCTACACGAACACTGGGGAGAGATGGGGAATATAACCATTAGTTTTCTAGTCCAAGAAAGAGCAAGTGCTCTCCTTGCAGGGAAGCTGAGTGGATAGGAAGCCAAGGCTCCACTAATTAGCACTTAAAATCTTCCACTTCTTCCAGTCCTAAGCACAGAGGATACCACAGGGGACACAGAGCTGACTCGCTCGAGCAGTCTGGCAGAGTCCACACAGCAGTACTCACTTTGGAATGCCACAACCCCGTGGGATGTGCAGATTAAAGGGGTAAATCACACTGAAATGTCCCTGTTTGTGTGCACAGCCCTGGCAGCACTGCCCAGGCTGTCAGTTCTGGCCAGGTTGAGCTCTCACCTGCAGTTTGGAGTGGTGGTAGAGCCAGCGCAGTGCAGCCGAGGCCAGGCTGGGGGGGTTGGAGCCATAAGCCTCCTTCAGAGCCTTTTCTACTAGGGCAATTCCCTCAAAATTGTGTTTTTTCCAGTACCTGCATGAAAAGAAATCACCCTTATTGCCCTGCAGATCTCTAGTGCGTGGTACATCTATATTCCAACCACAAGAAAGCTTCATACAACTCTTTAGAGCCTCTGAGGACTCCTGCAATCACCCCTGCAAGTTGTGGGGCAGCTGAGCGTAAAAACCACCCTGCAAAGGTCAATCACATGCCATGGCCCCAACCACGTGTGCTGATGCAATCCCTGCACAAGCTCTGGTCAATTCTGCTTCCTCTCAGCTGATGATTAGTGTTTTTTTAATGCAGCCATTCCTTGTCTGTCAGCTCAAAAAATACCTGTCTCTGTAGGCCTGAGCCCAGTCATTCCCAAAAAATCTCCCAGGAGGCTGGCACGTGTCTTTGTCCTCGTACTTGTACTTGCCGGTCAGGAGCCCTCCTGCAAAGGGCAACAGCAGTTCAGGGCTGGGCTGCTCTGCACAGCCCCCATTTCCCAGGGTTTTGTCTCAAAGTCTGGCCTTGTCCCCCTCTGTACCTGCCAGGGGGTTGTAGGCGTAGAACCGCAGCCCGAAATGCCTCAGGCAGGGGAAGAGCTCGGCCTCCACCTGGCGCGTGGTCGCGTTGTACATACCCTGCACCAAGGGGGACACAGCTTCAAACACTGGCTCAGGGCACAGCAGCAGCCTCCTCCCACACCTCCCTGACAGGACTTATCCAGGAGAGAGGCTTCAGGTTACACAGGGTGATGACTTGCTTAGGAAGAGACTCGCTGAAGGATTGCAAATAATGCAAAAATTGAAGTTTCCCAGAGGTGGAGTCACTGACTCCAGCAACGAACACACACTCAGGAGTTCCTGAGCAGTGACCTTGCTCAGCTTCCTGATCATGTGTGTCCTGAAAGGACATGGGAAGGGTGGTCAGGCACTGGAAGGGGCTGCTCAGGGAGGTGGTGGCATCCAAGGAAGGACTGGACGTGGCACTCAGTGCTCTGGGCTGGGGGACAGCTGGGGATCAGGCACACGGTGAACTCAATGACCGTGAGGGTCCTGTCCAACCTCAGTGGAACTCCCAGGCTAACTGCAGCAGATTCCTCCTCTGTTTATATCTGGCACACTAGGGGTTGGTCCAAGATTTGGGAACCCCAAATCCCAGGTATTTCCCCACAGCAATACCACCTCTCACCTGGTACACAGTTGGCATCACCCAGTTGTTGTACTTGCAGATGGTGCAGATTTCTGCCACCTCCCACGCTGCATAGTTTGACAGACCAAGTTCTTTAAACTTTCCCTGCAGAGGAATAAAAGAGAATTCAGTTCCAGTGTTTAAAAGTTCATTTGGACCCAGACAGTGCAAGATGCATACAGTGAAAAGGAGTCACCAAATTTTAGTCCAGAGTGCTCATTGCTGTCCACCTTTTCCAAGAGACTATAAAGACCTGACAAAAATACTTCTCATTTCCTGTTCCTTTGGAATTCACACCCTCTAATTTAAATGCCATAGTTAGATTAATGCAATTCAGAAATTCTTTACCCATTACCAGCACTAATTCTAACCCAGCCAGTTAACACGGCTGAAAGCAAAGTTCAGATGTTCTAAGGCTTCCAAGAGCTTTTGGGAACAAAGTGCACCACATTAGCACCCAGTGGAGCAGCAGCTGCTCTGCTCTGGGCTCTGTCTCTTCTTCTGAGTGTTGCACAAACCCAGAGCTGCAGTGGGCACAACAAGCAGCCCTGCTCTAAAAAAAAGGGGTGGGAAGGAGGGAATCAAGGATCGTCCAGGCTTAGACTCCCCACTTTACTTCTCTGTGCAGCTCGTTGCAGGCACGCAGCGTCTCCTCCACGGGAGTCCCGTGGTCAGGAGCGTGGAGGTAGAAGAGCTCCACACTTGTCCTCTTCAGCCTCTCCAGGGACGTGTCCAGCTGGGAACGCACACTCTCCGGCTTCAGCGTCTTCCCATCCCAAGGGTTGGCCTTGGTGGCCACTTCCACTGGCAGAGAAAGAAGGAATGAGCAAGGAATTTCAACCTTCAGAAGGAAAACAGGGATAATGGGCATAACCAAGCTTTTGAGGTGTTTCAGGGAAGGTCTTTCTCCTCGGGAACCACGTCGGCCTGGCAGGGGAGGCTCTTCCCCAGAGCACTGGGGGACTGCCCTGGAGAGGGAAGGGCTTCTCAAGGTCTGGGGGTCAGCACTAAGAGGGGAATCTCTTCCCCTCAGAGCTGGCATCAGCCTGGCAGGGGGAATCCTTCTCCTCAGGGAGTAAGTCCCGAGGCAAGTTCCTTTTGCTTAGGGAGTCATTCGCCAAGGAAGATGCTCCTCCTTAGGGAAGAGGCGCAGGGCAGTCCTTCCCCCTCGGGGGCAGCCTCAGCCTGACATGGAAGACCCCCCTCCTCAAGCACGAGTCCCAAGTCCCTTCTCCTCAAAGAAGGTGTCAGTTTAGCAGGGAGGACCCTTCTCCTCAGGGAAGACCCCTCTCGTCAGGAAAGACCACTGTCCTCAGGTACCGAGCCCCGAGGAAGCCCGTTCCCCTCAGGGCAGCCCCCACGCCCCGCGCCCTACCGGGCTCGGTGCCTGCCGCCAGCAGCGCGCCCAGGATGCGCTCGGACTCCCCGCCCGCGTACATGAAGGCGGTGTCGAGGAGGCGGTAGCGGCGGCGCAGGAAGGCGCGGAGCAGCTCGGCGCTCGCCTCGGGCCCTGCCCGCCGGCCCATCTCCATCGTGCCCAGGATCACCCCGGGCCGCGCTCCCCCCGCCGCCATGGCCGCCATGGCCGCCATCCCCCTCACCGCCATTGCGCGTGCGCGGGCACGGGCGCGGCCCCGCCCCCAGGGCGGCCGGACCCGCCGGTTTGGCGAAAAAAACAGCGAGTTTGGGCAAAAAACAGCGGGACTGTCCGAAACCAGGCTGGGGACAACGGGGCTGGGGGAAAAACACGGCGCGGGTTTCACGGAAAAGCTGCGGATCTCGGGGAAAAAGAGTCCGGCGAGTTGCCGGCAGGGCCGGCGGTGCCGGGCGGGAGCGGCCGAGGGAGCCGGGGATCCGTGAGGGGAGCGGGGGCACGGACAGCCCTCCCGGCTCGAGAGAGGCGCTTCCGAGGGAAAACAAACTCAAGTGGCGAACGGCGTCGGTGGGAGGTGAGTGCTGGTGCTGCGGGGACACGTCGGGCTGGACTCCGGCTGCCTCTCTTGTATTGCTTTTTTTGACTTCTTCTTTTTTCCCCCCGTTCTTCTTTCTCCTTCCCCCTCCTTCTTCTTTCTCCTTCCCCCTCCTTCTTCTGTCTCCTCCCCCCCCTTTTTTCTTCATCTTTTTTTCTTTTCTTTTTTCTTATTTTTCTTTTTTCTTGTTTTCTTTTTTTTCTTCCTTATTTTAATTTTTTTCCTCCCCTTTTCCTTTTTCTTCCTTATTTCTTCCTATTTTCTCCTTTTTTCACTTTTATTTTTCTTCTTTTTCTTCCTTTTTTTCTTTTTCCCTCTTTTTTTTTTTTTTTTTTCATTTTATTTCTTCTTCTTTTATTTCTTCTGTTTCTCCTTTGATGCCAAACCCTGCCAGGCCGAAAACCTTCCCACTCCTCTCATCTCCGATGCAAAATGAAGGCCAATAAAGGTGTATTATCCACTGATGAGGAGCCCCTGGTGGTCTAGGGGGTAAAGGCGCCGCGCTATCACCGCGGAGACCCGGGTTCGATTCCCGGTCAGGGCCACTCCCGGGCAGGTGGGACTCGTTAGCCCTTAAAGGCAACCCACCTACGTCCTAAGGACCTCGCTGCCACCGTCCAAGCTCGCTTGGCCCCGGCAGATGAACCTTAGGATTAAAGGGTGGGCTCAGTTCCGCGCACACTGTGTCTCACCTAAAAAATCCAATGCGCAGGCTGGAAGGTGGAAAGACCTTCCCCGGATCTTCGCTCGCGAAGACTGGCCATTATCCACTGATGATACTTTTTCCCAACACGAGCCAGTTTCCAGCTGCATCCAGAGGAGCCCCAATCCTGTTCATCATCCAGATCTATTTTTCCCCAGCATTATTAAATTTCCCCCCAGCTCCCTGCTGGACTGGCATTCCTGGGCCATGGCTGTGCGGCGCTGGAGGGGGGTCCCCTTTGGGAATCTCTCGGAATGTCCCAACGGCTCCCGCTGGATCCTCGAGGTGTTCCACGAGTGTGCCCAGGACGGCCGGGACGTCTTCAGCGTTATCCTGGGGCTGGTCTCCATCCTCTGCTTCGCAGCCGCCTCCTTCCCGTGAGTATCGTCCCAAATCCCAGCCCAGCCCTCCCCATGGGACAGCAAAGCTCAACCTTCCAGCACCAGGTGCCTGAATTATTAAATCTGCCCATCAGAAGCAATCAGGGCTTGGGCAGTTTAGGGTTAGAGGAGGAGAGGAGCAGGCAGCACAGCCCCAAAGCCTGGGTAGTTGTTATATTGTTGTTGCTGAGCTTGGCAGCTGGAATATCCCACGTAAGCCAACTGCAATGTGCTCAGGGCAGGTCATACGTGTGCCTGGAGTGTTTCCAGGCTTCTTGGAAGTGCTGAGACAAGCGTGGCAGAGGGGGATGTGGGGAGTCACGCTCCAGCTCCATTATTTGGTAACCAGAGTGGGGAGGATCCTGACTCAGGCTTCTCCTCACTCCTTCCTGCCCAGTTTGCAGGGGAGCACATGGCTGGGCAGGGGCAATCCCTGCTTTCCCCCCCAACAGGGCTTTGGGATCCACAGGGAGCCCTGGGGATGGTTCCCGGATAGTGCTGAACCAGTCTGGGGCAATGTTTGTGTCTCTGCCCAATTCTCTGCAGGCAGTTTTACCAAGCCTGCAAAACAGGCATCATGGACCGGGCTCTCTCCATATATTTCCTGCTGGGATGGCTGGGAGGAGACCTCCTGAACCTCATCGGCTCCTTCCTGGCTGATCAGCTGCCCCTGCAGGTACCAAACCCCTGGGGCTGGGCCGGCTCCCACACCCCCTGAGCTCCAGGGAGGAGGGATGGGCTGGGAGCTGCTTAATTCAGCCCTGGGAACAGAGACCCAAACAACCCGGGATGCTCCCTTCTCCCATCAGGATGTTCTCTCTTTCCTCCCTGGGCTTGCTCCCTTCTTCCCCCTGGGATTGCTCCCTTCTCTCTCCTCAGGGTTGCTCCCTCTTTTCCCTTCAAGGATGCTCCATGCTTCCCTCCAGGATTGCTCCCTTCTCCCTGCCTGGGGTTGTTTCCTTCTTCTCCCCCATGGGGTTGCTCCCTCCTTCCCCTCTGGGGTTACTCCCTTCTCTCCCCGGGATGTTCCCTTCTTTGCCCCCTGGGATTGTTTCCTTCTCCTCCTCAGAGTTGTTCCCTCTTTTCCCTGAGGGATGCTCCTCTCTCTCCCCAGGCTGTTGTCCCATCCCAGTGTCCCCTCCCCACAGGTTTACACGGCTGTTTATTACGTGCTGGCCGACCTGGTGATGCTTTCGCTCTACTGCTACTACAGAGTGAAGAACAGGGGGGCAAGATGTGAGTTGGGGCGTGGGGGGGGCTTGTCCTTGTCTGTGGAACTGGGAAGGGAGGGAATCCCCAGGGAGATTCCAGGGGCAGAGATGCTTTGCAGATATAGCTATTGGATGTTTGCTGGGCTTTTTTTCCTTGGATAATTTGAGCCTCCAGGAAAACCAAAGCCAACAAATATCTACAGGCTGTGCCTGGGGCTTCTGCAGACCCTGCAAACCTCCCCATGGTGTCCAGGCTGAAAAAAACTCCCCTGTGAGTTGCACTGGGCACAGAAATAAGTTCTTTACCCACAGGTAGGTGATGACTCCACCTCGGAACTGGAAACCACAGAACTCCTGACTCAGGCCAGGGCTGCAAGGGAAAGGGGGAAGTTTTCTGATTGTTTCGGGGTCAGAACTCCAACCTTGACATGATGGGGAAGTTCCTCCCTGTTCAACTGGAGTGAAAAGGGAACCTTATCAGCTCTCGAAAGGTTCAAACAGCCAGAGAAAACAGAACAAGTCCATTTTTCAGCATTGCAGCTTTGTGAACACCAAACAGGCACTTTGGGACCAGGATAACTTTAACTTATAAAAGACATGTAAACTTATTAAACCAATTGATATTTGGCCTATCAACTACATCGTGTTGTTAAACTGGGGAGCCTGTTTACTGAATATAATTACTGAATAATAGTACTGAATAATAAATAAGCCGAAGCAGGGCTTGCTCTGGCAGGGATTTGAGTGTGGCTGTTGTGAGTTAAGACAATGAAATCTCCTAGAGGGGATGATTTTTAAGAGCCTAAACCCAAAGAAACTGAGATAGGAGCAGTTTCCTGCCTGATAATGTAGAAATTGGCCACATCACTGGGAGATAAATCACCCACAGCAACCATGTCCTGTCCCTCAGTGCTCAGAGATAAGGGACAGCTTGGAGTTGCTTTACCCTGAGGCTGTTGGGGGTTGATGGGATTTTCCCTAAGCAGGCTCTCCTTGATTCCCTGCAGTCACTGCCCCAATCAATGCAGCCTTTGTGTTCCTCTCCATGGGTACAGTGTCAGCCCTCTCCCTCCTGGGCAGCGGCACCTCCACAGAGGGCACAGGGACCTTTCCAGGGAGGTCTCTGCTGTCGGTTCACACGGATGATCCTGGATCAAAGGTGAGCCAATCCCTAAATCTGGGTGATGGGATACAGAACATCTGTGTGGGCACATCCTGGATGGTGTGATCCTACCCAGGAGTGCCAAAAAACACCTTGTACCCCCACCACATATTTTGGGGTTGGGGGCTTCTCTTCCTCTTAGGAGCAAATTGTCTTCCAGGGTGTTACAGTCTCAGAAGGTGACACTGGAAAGAGACCTTAAAAGATTGCTCCAAAACTCAGGGACACTCTGCTGTGGGATTTCAGACATTTCAGGGCCTGCTCAAGATTTAGCAAATGTAACATTTGCTACATCTCTGTGAATAGAAATTATTTCAGGGAGCTCCATAGGATGGACATTCTCTAAACAATGTGGTATTTAAACCACGTTCATTCACATTAAACCACAGCCTGTTTTCAGGAAATTCGAGAGATTTTTCCCCTTTTATTCTTGAATGTATATTTAATTGAAGAAAGCAAGCAAGAAAGTGCAGCAAGGTAACTCAATTTGCTAGAGTAAAAGGAGGTTTGCAGAAGAGTTTTACACTGGCAGTAGTGAAGGACCTTTCCAAGCAATGAAAATAAACCCAATTCCCATTATAAGAGCTTGAAACAATAACAGACTACATATTTTCGTATTATCAGTTGTAATTATCACAGGACCTATCAGGTGAGGGAGAGCTGGGGAGATCAGAGACTGGGTTTGGGGGCCATGGTGTGAATGCTGAGCTGCTCCTGGCTCCCCCTTTCCTTGCAGCCTTTCACCAGGAGTGAGATCATTGGATTCACCGTGGGTTCTGTGTCCTCCGTGCTGTACCTGTGCTCCCGAGTGCCCCAGATCTACACCAACGTGAGTACCTGGCCCTGGGCACCCCCTGGGCCCTCACATGTCACCTCCAAGGGGCCTGCTGGGATCTTCTTCCTTCCCTTTGCTCAGAGGTCCCAGGACCCTGTCTCTGATGATTTCATAAGGGGCTATTTTTCTGTATTTCTGGTCCAAAACCCAATTTATTTTTCTCCCCTTTAACCCACCAATACTTTGAGGGTGTGGCTTTGTCTTATTTACAAGTAAAAGGGGAAGTAAAGGGCTCTTGGCATTGAGTCACCACCTTTTCTCTTCTCTTTTTCGGGAGAGGATGATTAATACCACTTTATTTAGGAGAGCTGCACCCAAGCTGCTCTTCTTGTGCCTGCTATTCCCAGTACAAGAGGAAATCCACCACTGGGATCTCCTACTCCCTCTTTGCCCTGGTGATGTTGGGGAACTCCCTCTACGGCCTCAGTGTCCTCCTGAAGAACCCTGAGCCAGGCCAGGGTGAAGGTGACTATGTCCTGCACCACCTGCCCTGGCTGGTGGGCAGCCTGGGGGTCCTTTCTCTTGACGTGGTTGTATCCTTTCCCTGCCAAAACGTCTCTCTGGGATCACATCCCACTGGCACGGCTTTGCAGGGAGTGATCCTGCCCTGGGACAGGCAGGGTTAGGCAGGAGAAGGGTGGGTTGATGCTACTCAGGGGTTGCTCACCCAAGTGCAGCTGAGTAATTTGTGGTGTTGCAACTGCTGAAATGCTGCAGCCCTTTGTTTGCATTGTCCTGTTTGCTGCACAAACAGCCTTTGTGCAGGTGGTGAGACCCAGCTCATGGCACAGATCCACCCCTGTGTGTGTGAAGAGCCTTAACCCCTCCTCAGATCTCCTTCCAGTTCCTCACCTATCGGAAAGGAAGAGCCAGTGCCCACGAGGAGAGGGATGCTCTTCTTGGGGAGCAGAGTGACAGCCTGGAGAGCTGACCAGGGGACCTGCCTGGAGCGAGAGGAGGAGACGCAGATGTGGAAAGTCCTTGAACACCGGGCAAACCAGCCCCTCCATCCTGGTGGCTCTTGGGAGAAGAGGACCTGAGTCAGTGGGTGACACATTGTGGTGCTACAACAGTGGCAGAGGATGCTGCTCTTTGAACTTGTGCCTCTTTGATATCAATGATGCTGTTGGGATAAAAGGGAATTCTTTGATACCTCAGTTACTCTTTGCTGCTCTGATGCCCCCCAGCTCAGCCTGGTCGTTGCTGTCTCAAGGGAGATCTGGAGCTTCCTTGGTGCTGGCAGACATGGGAAGGGACAGGGATGAGCGACCTGCCACAGACACAGCAGCACCGTGGGCCTCATAACTGCACTCTGAGCTCCTTCTGCAAGACCACAGTGCCTGGATCCAGTGGGGAAGGAGCAGCACAACAAAGTGTTCATTCCTTGCACACCCATTTTAATTAGCACGTCCTTCCCCACGTGCCTCCTTTGCTTTCATTTTGCCAGTTTACCTGGCAGCTCCTGCCTCTTTCTTCATGACTTTCACAGTCCCAGTTCTGACTTCTCATTTTTTTGCCTCACCCATGTTTTAATCACATGGATTCCTTGGGGAAGTTGCTCTCTCTGTTACCCAGCAGAGCTGCCTCTGCTTTCTCTGCTTTTCAGTCCTGCCCTCTCATTGATGAATTTATCCCCATCTTGATGAGTTTATTCCCAACAATGATGAATTCATCCCCCTCTTGGGGCCCTGCACACCAGTGCAGTGGCTCCCTGACCCCAGAGGGACTGGAAGCAGGGGTGGTTTGGGAAGAGTGCCGAGGTGGAGCCACCCGATGGATCAGCTCAGCACTCCAGGCTCCCTCCCGTGTGCTGAGCTGGGGGTGAGCAGCTCAGTCTCACCAGGAAAGTAAGAGGAAAACCAAATAAAGCTTGAAAGCTCTTAAGGAAAAACTAACACAGCTTGTCCTTGAGAGAAGAGCTTTCCTTTTCCTGAAATCACTATCAGCTCTTCTTTTTGCTTCCCTTTTCCCTCTGACACCCAGTGTTGTACTCTATTATTAACTCCTGATTCCTCTGCCGGTCCATGACATTTGTCCTTCCCCAGGAAGTTTGCCCTCCTCTCTGCTTTGTCCTCACACTGAGGACTCAAAGCCACAGCTCAGCCTGGAAACAGGAGTCAAACTGCTCAGTGCCCATCAAGCTGCACCAGCAGGTCAATTAAAACACAAGCTGGGCCAGTGTTTGGGGCTGACCCATTCATTTTCAGGAAGAAAAAGTATTTTTCAGTCTCTTTGAGCCCTTTGAAACAAAGGAGTGGGTTTTCACTGCATGATTCTGCCCCTCCAGGTTCTCAGGTGAAGGGGCTGCTCAGCTCGTCCCCAGGAGCTGTAGACAAGCAATTCCTATCAAGTGCTAATCCAAACCATGAGCAAATCCTTAATCTCTGCCATTAATAACTGCCACATCCTGGCTAACCAAGGGCTTTTCTTAAAGCTGGACAAAGAACCTCCATCATAGGGAGGAAAAATTATAAAATATAGTTTGTCCCCACAGGTGGATCCAAAGCACAAGTGGATTTACTTGGGCTGCAGAGGTTGGGCAGCGTGAGCAGCTGTTTGGCAGAGGGAGGTTCCACACCTGCTGCCATCCCAGAGGTGGGGGGTACAAATTCCTGCCACTGAGATGCTCCCTGAGGTTTCCATCCCTCCAGGTCACTGCTGCAGCCCTGCTCCTGCAGCTTAGGATTTTGCACATGTTAAACCAGAAAAGGCAGAGCAGAAACAAATATCCCAGAGTGAGAAGGTAAATGAAAACCCAACACACATCTTCCCCCTCCTGGGCTCAAGACTTCACACAAACTTATCTCCAGTTTCAACAAAGGTTTTTCCTTGGACAGAACCAAGAGAAAAAGACCAAATCTCACTGTGTTTCCCTGGGGGATCCCAGCTGTGAGGCAGACACGTGTCCCAGCCTGTGTCCCACAGGAGCTCCAGTCTGGACCACAAGCCCTAGGCAAACACTGATCACCTGCAGGGGCTGGGGGTGGAACAGGTCATGGCAGCCAAAATGAGAGCACAGTAATCAGTGTCAATGCCAACAGTGTCCATTTGCAGGGGTTCACCCAAAGGGTCATTTCAAAGGCCATGGACAGGAGGAGCCCATCAGGTATTTATTTCCTTTCCCAGTTTGCCCAGGATTAGGTTTGGAGCAGTGAAACCAGAGCTGGGCAAGGTCCCTCTGCCCACCACGAGGTTCAAGAGGAGACTCAGGGTGAGGTTCACAGACACAAGGACCGAGCACAGGAGTTTTTGGGTCAGCACGGATGGGTGGAACCATCTACCCCAGTGTGTCCAACGCTGCTCCTCTGCCACCCCCCTGCTGGGCACAGCGACCCCCCAGGCTGTGTTTAACACACCCAGTAAAGCTGGACCAATCCCCCTTCCCTAAATGCACCTGTTCCACATTGCTGCATGCCTGCAGCATCAATCCCAGCATCCTGGAGGGGCAGCAGGCCCTCGAAAAGCAGTGGGACATCACCCCCTCTTCAAAACAAACGTGTTCTAGCTCATCTGGATATGAGACAAAAAACAAATAACCCTGCAAGGAAAGCAACAGAAACAAAGACACCAACCACACACACACATCTTCCTGGGATTTTTTTTATTTTTATTGTTTTAGTCTTTTTTTTTCTTTTTTTTTTTTTCATTTTTTAGTATGGAGGCTCAAGTATCAGATGTAGATTCAATTTAAGCTTTACAAAAAAAACCAAAAAATCAAAACAAAAACCCCTTTTGCATTCCATAAAAATTGACAGAAAAGCGCCTTGGAACCAGAAAAGAAAGAAGAAATTTTCAGCAGGTCTCCAAATCACCATCTCCTGCACATCTGGGTGAGTCAGCATCGTACAATCCCAAGGAACACCCTCTCTTCCCTCCCTCCCACCAGCCAGCCCTTGTGCCCAGCCCCCAAACATACATGGAATAGATTATTTTTCTCCTTTTTTTTTTTTTTTTTCCAGTTCTTCCTCTTTCACACACCACAGTATTTAATAAATTTTTGTTTTACATTTTTTACACCAATGTAACAAAAGGCAGGAGGGGGGTGAGGGAGGAAAAGACAAACAATGATCCGTGGTGATGCATATAAATGGGGGAGGGCGGGAGACGGGCGGGGGAGAAAAAATAATACATGGACTTCTACAGAAACATAGCCTAAGGTCTTGATAGTAAAATGTGGTGCAAAGTAGGCCTCAGAGACTGAAAAAGTTTGTACAGCTTTATTCATGGGGAGAAGATGGCGCTGCATGGAGAGTATTGGATGCAGATCGTGACGTGACGGAACAGAAAAGGGCAGGGGATGAGTTCTCTACCAAAGGAATCTAACGAGTGCATGGCATGTCTGGTTAGCACGGACAGGATTTTAACTTTGCTGCTTTCTCTTCAAAGCCTCCACCAGGTCGTTTTTAAGAGCTTCTTGTTTTGATTTGTCTGCAAAAGTCTGCACAGACCTGCGAGGAAGAAGGAAAGGCGGGTCAGAGGTGCCAGAGGGAGGGAGGGGTTGGGGCCAGTCCTGGCATGGGAGGCAAGAGGGAGGAGAAGCCCCTCAGCCCAGACCCAGAGGAACACCCAGCTCTGCCTGCTGGACCACAGGAAGCAGAAGGCAATGGACACCTGGGTGAGGACATGAAAGCAAAACTCACTCCAGCAAGGATGGCACCAAAGGCTTCCCCGGCAGCTCCAGCTGCTGGAGGGAGATTTCCAACATTTTATGTTACGGAAGAACCCCAGCATCCCACCAGCAAAGGGGGTTAGTGCTCCTGCTCTCCAAAAGTCCAGAGAAAATTCAGCCTCCACCCAAGAAGGGCAAGGCAGGGGAGCCCCCGCCCCTCCTGCAGACTGTTCACCCAGGGTCCAGCAGCGGCCTCACAACTCCCCTCGGTGTTTGCACTGGTGGGAAAAGCAGCCAGAGGTTCTTGGCTCAAATTTGCCTTCTTTTGTACCTTCCCTAAGTAATGAGTGATCAAAGCAGCTGAAGAAGAACAGAGATACTGTCACAGGATTATTGCAGAGGTTCCCTTTGGATACAAGTACAGAGGAAAAGCTCCATCTTCCAGGAGTCCTTGGATCAGTGCCCTGGGAGATGGCTGTAAGGAACCTGTGACTCCAATGGCACAGTAAGAAATTTCCACTTTTAAAAAAGACCCTCTTAAATGTGATCATGGATAGAATGAGAAGACCAGACTTTTCCAGAGTTGCTACCATGGAGAAGTGGTAGGACCCAGTTTGGTAAGATATTTCCTCACCCAAACCATATTTCACAGCCCTTTCAGTACTCGGTACCTGGGACAGTGGAAGGTGTCCCTGCCCATGGCAAGGGGATGGAACTGGATGAGCTTTAAGGGCCCTTCCAACCCAAACCAGTCTGTGATTGTATGATTCAAAGCCTTATTTTCCCTGGATGCTGTCTCCTGTAAACAAGACTCTTCTTTATGGTGGATATTTTCCTACCATTTTTATAACAGTATTTCCATTCTCTTGTCTCTGGACACTTCTGCTGCTTTAATAAAAACATATGCATTTGATATTTGTATTTGTCACTCTCAAGAAGTGGTTCTTGGCCATTATCAACAAACAGTGGGTTTTCCCCTTCGTCAGCTTAATGTGTTTAAAACAACATCTGTCACTTGTTAGAGGTGGAGTGGGAGGTTAAGGTGGCCCAGGGTTAGTCACTGCTGTGCATCCTCAACATTCAGAGCTCCAGAGCAAAGGAGAGCACAGGAACAAACCCCTTTGGAGGCCGTGCAGAGCACAAGCAGGTGGAGGCTGGGAATGTTTGAGTGAGCTTGAGCAGGACTGGGTTTCAAGCTCCAAGGAAATTCAAGATCCACCAGGCAAACAGGGGATGTGGGATGTGCACGTGAGCTCTGAACTCATGGGAAGTACCAGCCTGGGGTTTTTTTCCAAACTGTGAGACTCCCAAGATTTCATTCTGCAAGGAGGACATTAGGATTACAAGGAGTTCCCTCCTGGAAGTGGTGGACAGAGCTGTAAAAAACCTCCTGGTGCCCAGGGGACAGTCCCAGGGCCTCTGGATCAAATCAGCCCAATCCAACACCGCTCCCGGTACCACGTGCTACTTTCCTGCTCCCAAGCCAGAGTGCAAAGTGGTAAATCCTGCCACAATTCTGAGCCCGAGGCTTCAAAGGGGGGGACCTGACATTTGAAACGGAAATGCCAGCGTTTAGTTGGCCATATTAGGAAAGAACCCGTGGGTGAAACCCGGCTCCGACGTCGCTGCTCAGTCTGCGGGATTAGGGGTTAGTTCTGTCCCGTTACCATGCAGGGCTGGGCTGGGTGAGTCCTGGTTTAGTGCTGCTCTCACACCTCACAGGCAGCGAGGGGTACCTGGATTGGTTTAGTTATCAGGCTGGATGTAGATCTGGCGCTGGGTCAACACTTGAGAAAGTTCCCTCTGCAACTGCTTATACTTTTGGTTGTCGGGAATAGCATCGATAGATCTACAGAGAGCAGTCGGAAACCAGGGAGCAAACAGGGAAAAGAACAGTCAGAAGAACTCAGGAACACGGATTCTGGAAACCAGCAGGGAAGGAGTGTGAACACACAGGTCAGGAGGAGCAGGGAAAGGCTGGGGGAGCGGATGCTCCGTGTTACCAGTCCTGGGCAGATCCCAGCGCTGCCCACAGAGCCAGGACTCACTGAGGGATGGGAGACACAGCAGAGTCAATACAGCAGCTGAAGGCAATGTTCACAGGACAAGGACTGCATTACATATTTCCTCCTGTTAATAAAAGTTTCCTGGCTAAACCCTGCACAGCCCAAAGGGAAACAGGTCTATGACGAAGGCTGGGTTTGGGACAGGACCCAGAGCAGCTGCTCTTGGCAGATACGGCCACTCCCCCTTCCCATGGTGCAGCACAAACATTTAATTAGCACCATTTCCCTATTTTCTTCCACATGCCAGGCTGTGAGAGAACATCAGAACACTTATTTGTGCCATTTGCTTATTCTGTATTATCACACTGTGCTGGAAAACCTCTCTGCACTTCAAATGGAATGATTTGGCATCTCCGTTTTGTGCTTCCCTCCAGGAGCAGAACTGCCAGCCTGGGATTTGTATGTCCAATTCCTGTCCAGGGATGGGCAGGGCTTGAAAAGTACAGCACAGTTTCCCTACAGAAAAGCACAGGGGATTTATTCCCTTAACCTCTTCCAGTACACTGCATTTTGACCAGTGGTGTTGGGAGAAAAGACAGAATTTAAACCAAAGTCTAAATACCACAAATCACTCACATCATAACTTAATTCTGGGACTGTTTTAAAGAATAGCAGAAAGAGAAGTCAGAATTCAACTTTTAGGACTGTGAAGAATAAACCCTCCAATTAAAAATAATCCTGAAATACAAATGTTGTTAGCTGGGTTTTTTTCCTCCTGCTGGGGAACAAGAGATTAAAACATTGCTTCAGATTTCTATAGTACAAGTATTCCCTGAACTTCACACAACAAATAATGTTCCAAAGCCCAGGGAGGGGAAACAAAAGCAGATCAAGGCTGGGGGTGGCACCACAGGGTTGGGAAGGGGGTCCCACTTCCAGCTGGAGTGTCCTTACCTCAGCCCATTAACGATGTCCTTTGTTTTTCCAAAATAAATCTCATTCAGTGTACTTCTGATTTTGTTTTCCATGTCCTGGAAAAGGGGATGAGATCCAATCAGTTTTCAGGAATGGTGCAGCACTTACACTACACCCATCACACAGGCCCAACCTGGTGTATTGCTATTATTTAAATCCTCACCAAACACACTCTGACCCCATCTCTCTGCCATAATCAAAGAAATAAAGGCTTTTTTTCCCCTTCTCTCCTCGCAGTTTTAACCACTCCAGGCCTTGGGATATTTCTCTGGACCACAAGAGGGCAGTTTCTCTCCAGCTATCCATGTTCTGCACAAAAGGAAAATGCATCTCCCCCCAACCTTCCTCTGCAATTTCCTGGGGCACTGAAAGGGCTCTGAGTGCCTTGTCAGTCATTGGGGACAACCAACACTCAATGGTTTTGTGCTTGTGGATCCCTTTGAATTTTTTACTTGTTTTTTAAAGCTCCATGACAGAGTTTTGAGAAAGAGAAAGCAGCATTTTTTCATTAGGTTGCTTTCACTCAAGCAAAAAACTTAGAAAAGAGATCAAAAAAGAAGCAGCTGCCTTTCTTTAATTTCCCAGCTCACATAAAAATGCATTATAGTCTATTTTAGTTGAGAATATCCCCCTCTCTGGCCATAGTGGCTGTGAAAATCAAGGAAATTGGGAGCAGGCCCATACAGGACAGTACAGTGAAGCAGCAAAGCAGTGCTGCACCTTCACTCCTGGTGTTGAGCTTACAGGACTGGCAGCTGCCAGAAAATCCAGCACTAAACCCAGTTCCAGGGGATTTAATAAGCACTTGATACACACTGAACTTTCAGTTCAAGCAGAGTTGTGTGTAACAACCTAATCTGAAATAATTCTTCCCAGAAGTGACTGCAAAAGTTAAGTGTGGGGGTAGAAATTCATTAATCAGCTGTCAGGTAAGGACCTTATTTTCCAGGAAATTACTGCAGAGTGGTGCCTTTGTATCAACAAATGGCTGGAAGTGATGCTGGGAGGAGCACTGAGCCATCACACACCAAGCCACAGTCACAACAGGAATAAATCATTTGTTTATAAAGAAAAAACCAACAAAATTCTCACATATGTGGCCCAATTTTGCCAAAGAAGCTGCAGCAGGTGGAGCTGCTGCCCCAGCACTCACCTCTACCAAACGGCCGATGTTGGCTATGTGGGGAGAGGAGTCACTCACAGTCTCATCCTTCTCCATCTGGAAACAAACACACAGAGCCATCAAAACCATGGAAACCTGAGGGGAGTACCTGGCAGCACTCAGGAGGGCCGGGAGAAGGGGGGTCTCAAAACCTCCTTTATTGTGCAAACAGTCCAGGATCCCAGAGACACTCCCAGCACTCAGCACAGGCACATGCTGGGAACAGAAAGGCAGTGTAATAAAAACCATGGGTCAAAATAAACCCTGGTGTAGACAGGCCCTACAAAACTGTCCCTCCATCCTACTGAGGGGCTGCAGGAGATCTACAGAGGGAACAGAGAGCACGGCAAGCTCTGCAGCACAGAGGGCTATTAAAGGTTGGTGCTGAGGGGCTGCACACGAGGATGGTGCTGGCAGTGGAGATGCTATAAACTCTTCCTCAAGAACAGCCTTTTCTTCTCATCCTCACCTCAAACACTGCCTCCAACCACCCCTGGGGCACATCCTCCACTCTTAGGATCTCCTGGCAAAAGACACCTCAGGCATTATTTCCCTTCCAGTAGAGAGGGAAAGTGCAGGGAATACAAAACTCACAAAAACCTGCAAAGGTGGCGATGATTTAAACTACTGAAATAATGCGGAAAGAGAAATCTGTTTGTATCTCTTGGGTTTTTTTAGACCAAAAGCTAAATGAACATGTACCTGATTATTAAGAGGAAGGTAGTACAAAGTAAGTATGGGGGGAGGAAAAGAAGCAGTTTCTTTACTGCCCTTTGCAGTAGAAATTCAGAGCTGGATAAACTCAAGTGTATAATGACACCAATGCTCTTAGTGCAGTACCCAACAGGAGACGGGTCCATGAACAAGTTTTCATCCCTAAGATCAAAAAATGGGAGCTGGAACTGCCCCACTGGCTTGATTTCATCTGACTTTGCCCCACAGGATGCTCAGCCAGAAGCCATCCCTGACCTGTGCTAAGGACAAGGCCATCTTCTGCAGTCCTTGAGGTGAGAGCTGTGACTGAGACATGGACAAGCTGCTGAACAGTGAACACCAGTCCCAGAAACCTCAACTGACACAAGATGTGCTGAGATGGCACGGAAACAAAACCGGGAGGAAAATGCAGTGGGAAGAACAGTCTTCAAAGGGTTTTACTAATCCCAATGAATTCTCTTATCCATCTGTTCCTATCCCTCCCCTCAGGGTAGAGTTTAAAAATCAGGTTTCATCTAATCAGCCCAGCCTGTAACAGCTTGGGGAAATGAGTAATTGAGCTGGAAACCCCCAAGGCAAGAGAGAACCTGGGAGAGGGGGAGAAAGAGCATGAGGATGTTTAATTTTGCCTGCAGACTGCAGTCAGATTGTTTACATGGAATGGAGACACTGCCTGGAGAATGGATCCAGTTGCAGCGGAGGAGGAATATAAACCTGAACTACACAAACACACATGGACACACATGGCGAGTTTGGGAACTATCACAGCAAACTGCCCAAAGCTGGGGCAGTCAGGAGCTGGCAGCGGGTCAGGTCCTTCCATGGGCTCCCTGATGTGCCTCCCCCACACCTGGGAAGGCCAAGCTGCATGGCAAGAAGCAGAATCTGAAAACAGAATTATTAATTTTTTTGCAAAACGTATATTATTACATCTCCATAAAAACTGCTGCCAGAAGCAAAACATTGTTATGTGCTCTGGAAGGCCAGATGTTACAAGAGGCTGTTTAATGGAGTGCAGAGGCAGGATCAGCCTTGTCTACACAGGCAGGTTTTGCTGAGTTG